GATATGCCATTGCAGATTAGGAGACAGCAGCTGGCAATGAATTACTGGATCAACCTACAAGGACATGGGGTGTCTCATCCTGCGAAAGGGATTTTACAGGCATGCTGGGAACATGAGCGAAGACCGAACACAAGCTTTGGGTTGGTGGGTAATACCCAGGCGAAGGAGATGGGACTGTATGGAAGGGAGTTTAGTCCAACGGTAGTTATTCCTGTAAATCCATCATGGCTACTCCCATCTCCAGTAGTTGATCTAGAAGTGTTGGAGAGACTACAGAAAGACAGGGGGGGTGTTGATCCAGCTGATTTCTTTAAGAGACCTCTGGAATTCAGGATTTTGTGGTCCTCACCCGTCTGGCTGCTGACAGTGTACAGCATGGATGTGCTGTCGTGGGTTGATGAGGTGAAGGCCAGGGTCACCTCTGTCTTCAGGTCCATCTTAAAGATGGACTCCACGAAGAAGGAAGGTAACACTTTTGTCACACCATATTGAAAGTATACCATCATTTCATCCCTCCGCATCCCACTGACGCTCACTCTCTCCCACCCTCACTCTCTTGACAGGTGACCAAGAAGCTTGGCGGTTACACTTCGGACATGGCTGCCTGGGCCACAAACGTGGGGAATGAACACGGGCAGGTCCACAAGTGTGTCCTCACTGCTGGTGAGGGTGAGGGCCTTATGAAGTGGTACCAACTCGCTGGGGTACCACCCCCCCAGCTCATGTACGTGGACCGGGACTGTTGCTCCAGCTTTGGTGGAACGAAGACAGCTGCCATGTTTCCTGAATGGGACCAGCTGGTGGTTCGTCTTGACATCTGGCATCTGCTGCAGCGGTTTGTAGCAGGTGTCACCACCGAAAGCCACCAGCTGCATAGGGCCTTCATGCGGCAGCTGTCGTCCTGCATTTTTGAATGGGATGCAGGAGATGTCCGTCAACTGCTGGAGGCCAAGCGGTCCGAGCTGGGGAAGCAGTGAATGGTTGGCCTTACTGACGCAGAGGTCTACAGCCACTTGGGGAGGTGGGAGATGACTCTTCACTGCCGTTGCCGTACGCATGGAGCTGTAGAGACGGAACTCCTCCTCATGGACACGCTGGGGACCTTCAACATTGAGAAGGGGCATGACACCCTGGGCATTCCGCTGCTGGACCCCGTCCGCATCCATGCAATCTGGCAAGAGCAGTGGCGTCACCTGAGCTGCATCCAAGACCCTCCCGGTGTACAGTTGTACACAGACACCGGCGAGCCAATCACCAAGGGCGGAGTGAAGCTGCCGGTGTATTGCTACACACGCAGCTCCACATCTCTGGAGTGGTACCACCTCCACCTCAACCGGTTCATCCCAGGTAATTACAACTATAGAACTATCATTTTGAAATGTTACCAGTAAAATCATTGACACTAAAGTGAGTTGTGTTCACCTTCTCATCACCCATTATTCTACTCTTAGGCACCAGTGCCAATGGAATGCATTTCCAGGCCTTCCTCCTGGATGGACTGGCGAGGTGGAACGACAGAATTAGCCTCTGCCCTGCTACAGTGGCCACCTGCAGCATTCCCTCAACCAGCTCATTCAAAGGGTGCATGGCTCAGGTCAGGTTGAGGACTTCACCAAGCCTGGCGTGTACAGAGGTACGTTGATCATGTCATAGGTTTGTGTAAACGTGTGATGCATTTTTATGTCATTAAGCTTTGTGTGCTCTCCCACTACATCGCAGGGGAACTCATTGGTCTTGAGTACCTGTACGCCCAGACCAACAAAGTGCTGCAGGCCATCAGCTTGGACCCTGACACTCCGGACGAGGCTGACGCCACCGAGGGACCATTGGAGGATGAGGGATTTCAGGAGGCGGAGGATGAGGACCCCACTCTCAACGTCCCCGACCCACCTCCGCCAGTCGCCTCATCCTCCACCTCTGCGGCAGCCCGGTCAGGTGATCCAGCTGACGCTCCCAGGTCTGGGTCATCCAGTCCGGCCGCCACCGACCGTGACCCTCCTGAGGCCCCTGAACACCAGGATTCTCCTCCCTCTGACTCTTCCTCAGGCTCTGAGGACATTGTATGTGACCAATAACATTAGAGTAGTATTACATTCAAAATAACAGATGTGTTATTACAGGGAGGGGGATGAATAGGAGATAGGTCAGAAAGTTTGCTTTCCAGTGCACAGGCCTAAAACACAATCCTATTCAAAACCTAGCCTTAACCACAAACCCCTTACCTTAACTCTAACCCTATTTGGGAGCTCAAAGGAATAAGTCAACTCATATAGGGAGGGATTTCCCCTCCACCTGTTGGACCAGAAGTAATGTTGCCAACACGCTGCTTAAAATCATTAGGAGCTATAAGGAGTCAGTCAACTAACTGGTCAGTCAAGTCATATAGGCAGGGCTTTCCTTGCCACCTGCTGGATCAGAAGTAATGTAATGTTGCCAACACTGGCCTTAAATTCATTAGGAGCAATAAGTAATAAGTCACCTCATCATTCAAGTCATATAGGGAGGGGTTTTAGCGCCACCTACAGGATCAGAAGTACTATTCACCATGGCCACAGAGAGCCATCATCGTAAAACAACAACAAATCATCAAATAGGCAGTGGTTTCAAAACTCTAAGCACATTTTCAAGTAGAGCACACCAAATCATACAGTTACTTTTTCACCAAACGTAATCAGTGTGTCATCTAGAAATGCATGCTTCACATTGCAATACATTTTCTTATAAAGTAATTGCTTTCCACAATGCAATGCTCCCATGACTTTTGATAGGATATTTTTCATTTGTTAGAATGTATGCGACTGTTACTTAATCCAACTGCTCTGAATTCATAACCTCTTAACCGTTTGGTGTTAACCTACAGATTTGTTTGTCTACTGCAGATTTGGAACACTACATCATGAAAATGTATGTTTGTGAAGTATAAAATGAGGGTAACTTGGGGGGAAAACGCCCCCCTTAAGGCAAATGTCTATTTTCTGACTGCACCAAAAAAAACAATGTTTGGTAAGATTGAGATATTTGCATACTGACTATCCTCAGGGGAAAGAAGTGGGACAAATTAATACTTTTTTTGGTCTTCAACAAAAACACAACCTTTACAAGAAGGCTGCGTTTGGCTCCAAAATGACCCCTGAAGTGTTAAAATTTTTCAGTAATTGACCCTAACATACTCCCTTTAAATTGTACTATTTTTAAAAAAACGGATTGCAACTTTTCTCTCGAACCAAGTGCTGTCACGCCCTGACCGATAGAACTCTAGTTAGTTTGGTCAGGGTGTGAATATCATGTGAGTTTAGATTCTATGTTTGTACTTCTATGTTTGGCCGGGTGTGGTTCCCAATCAGAGGCAGCTGTCGCTCGTTGTCTCTGATTGGGGATCATACTTAGGCAGCCAATTTTCCTGCCTGTGTTGTGGGATCTTGTTGTGTTCCTGTTTAGGCTTGAGTGTTAGCCCTTTGGATAGTCACGGTTAAGTTTGTTATTTTGGTTACTGTGTCGTGTGTTTATTAGTTAAATAAGCATGTACGCCTTTCACGCTGCACCTTGGTCCGACCCGTCTCTTAACGTACGTGACAAGTGCATTATTTATCTATAGGCTCCCCTACTGGTATATGTATATACAATATGTTTCTAGATTTAATTACATTATATAGCCTATATAACTTTTACTCAATGACAAAATATTACATCAATGCACCTCAAAAATCATTTTGTTACAGTGACTTAAAAAGTAGAAATGACAGATTACATTTTTTGTTGAGCAAGACTAGGGACGTCCAGGGAAAGTGTTGAAATAAAGGGGTTTCTGTGAGAATTACAGGAGGGGTGTCACGGTTTCGGCCGAGGCTGCTCCTCTTCCTTGTTCGGGCAGGCTTCGGCGGTCGTCGTCTCCGGAGTACTAGCTGCCACCGTTCTATGTTTCATGTTCGTTTGGTTTTGTCTCTTTGTAACACCTGTCCCTTGTTTGTGTTTGATTATGTTCCCTATTTAGTTTTGTTTGTTTGGGTCAGGTGTTATGCGTGATTGTTTATTGTCAGCCTGCCTCAGAGGAGTTTGTATATCTCTCGTTGTTGTTTTTCGAGAGTTCGCACTGCGTGCGCTTTTCTTGTTTTTACGCACTGTGTTTGTGCGGAGTTGTTTGCGCCACCCGGTTGGGTTGGCGACTCATTGTTCATGTGTTGGACATTACTAAAGACTGTTGAAGTCATCCTGGTTCCTGCGCTTGATTCCTTTCACTCATCCACACACAGCACTCTGACAAGGGGGGATGATATATACTGTGATGTACTAATGTTATGATGATGACTAATATGATTTAACTTCACAGTAAGTAGAGCAAAATGCTGATATTGACCAGATCAGAGACGTACGGTATGTAACAAATGCATCCCCTATACCGTAACGAGTATCCTAAATGAAGTTGCTGGGGTCTATTGGATGAGGGGTGTCCTGAACTGTGCCTTTAGCATGTCAGAATTCCCTCAAACGGGAAATATCCCTTGCCAACTGGGCAGAGTTACTATACATTTCAGAAATGCATGCGCCGAGCCTTCCTTTGTCCTTCCTGATTTGGCCAATTGTTTGGTTGGAGTTTTTCGGCCTGCCATGCAACTTTGACTATTGTAGATAATCCATTTGGATTGATGCCTTTTATTTCAACGCCTCAGGCAAGTAAAACGTGCAATACGTAGCTTTTAGATGGGTTAGTTAACAACATACATGGTGAGAAATGTAGAGGTGCGCGTATATAATAAGCCATTTAGCAGACGCTTTTATGCAAAGCGACGTACAGTCATGTGCGCATACATTTTTTCATCCCGGGGATCAAACCCACAACCCTGGCATTACGAGCGCCATGCTCTACCAATTGAGCTACAGAGGACCACGAATAAATAGATAAATTGTGCCTTTTTGATGGAAATAAGGAGGTGGGATTTTGGAGATCAGGTCATAATTTACCCGCACTCTCTGCGAATAAGGCGGGCCACCCTAATGTCCTATGGCACGATGGTCACCCTCTTTGCGTGGATGGCACACAATTTGGTGTCCTCAAACAGACCGACCAGGTAAGCCTCGCTAGCCTCCTACAGGGCCATCACAGTGGTGCTCTTGAAGCGCAGGTCGGTCTTGAAGATCTGGCCGATTTTTTTCCCACAAGCACTGGAAGGGCACATTGTGGGCAGCTCAGTGGACCTTTGGTAACGACGGATCTCTCTGAGACACGGTGCCGGGCCTGTAACGGGGAAGCGCTCCTGCGCACAGCCTTGGCGGCGAGCTGCAACCTGTAGGCTTTGCCACGGGTGGATTTGCGAGCGGATTGCTTGGTTCTGGCCATGGCGCTAGCTTCCTTCTTAGATAGTCGGATTATAGCCACGAAATGCCCATGTGAAATGTATAAAGCCGACAGTGGCATCTGCTGATTGGACCCCATCTCTCCACCACCCCGATTGGCCCGTTGCAGAGGCCTCCTCTGTCGGCTATCAGAAAGGATATTTTGCTTCAAAACAGTACACTGCGTGTCCAGAACAATACACTTTGCGTGCACCCGCAATAATACACTGCGCGCCCAAAACAATAGTACACTGCCGGCCTTTACGCGCAATAATAGACGCCGAAGTCAAGAGTGAAATGTTCTAATCTAATGCTAGCTTGCTATGGCAAACGAGGCCAATAGTACACTGTGCGGACGCAACTGCACACTGCGCGCAGGCAAAAGCACACTGTGCGCGCAACAGTACACTGCCAGCCCTTTATGCGCAATAATAGTCACCAAAGTCAAGAGTAAAATCTTATGCTCTAATCTAATGCTAGCCTGCTAGGGCAAACGATGCCAATAGTACACTGCGCGCAGGCAACAGGACACTGTTGCGCAATAATAGTCGCCAAAGTCAAGAGTGAAATCTTGTGTTCTAATCACCACATGTTCAATAATGGCATTTTACCCCTTTATTCAGATTACAACCTCTCACTTTCAGTTATTTGAAATGAAATAATCTCTCAAATATCACTATATCTAAAACAAGCCATAGAAAGTTGGTTGCAATTTCAATTTAATCATCCAGAAACGACAGAACAAACTCAAATGAGGATGAAGGGAGAGGAGAAGAAGTGGGGGCAGCATGCTGCTCGGGAGAGATGGAAGGGGTGTTTAGGGTTAGTATAGAGAGGTAGGGAGGAAGGTGTGAGGGTGTGTTTTTTTGGTTGGGTAAAAAGGGGAGGGAAGGTGCTCCCCTGAGGTGTATTTAGTGTTATTTTTTGTGGCAGTATATAAGATGTGAATTTTGTTTTTATTTGATGTGGCTCAGTGGGTAGAGCGTGGCGCTTGTAACACCATGGTAGCGGGTTTGGACCTGATCTCCAAAATCCCCAAAATGCTCTTTTAAGAGCCACCTCCATATTTCCATCCAAAAAGGCATAATTGTTCCATTTATACACGCACCTCTACATTACCCAACATGTATGTTGTTCACTAACACGTCTAAAAGCTACGTATTGCACCTTTTAGTTGCCTGAAGTCTAGCTTCAATGTTTGTGTGTGTGTGTGTGTGTGTGTGTGTATATACAACCATCTGGCATCATCCACTTCCTTTGGACTATAGTAGCACAGTAAAATGCTTTACAAAGGAGGGGAAAAAGAAACAAGTGATAATATAGGCCGAATAGTAACAAGAATTGTTTTCAGATGAATAATTGACACTATTAGTTGTGTGTAAAGCCTTGCATGCAGTCAAGAAAAAACATTGCATGCCAACTACTTTGAAAGTCCCATGTTGCAGTGCTGCTGAGAGACTCATGCAGAGGCCAAAACTTTACAGTGGAGCACAGAGGACATCTTGTGGTTAAACTTGGGTACTGCCAATGTGTGCGCACATCAGAGTCCCTTTTAGTATTAGCTCTTTAGCCCAGCGTTTCCCAGTCGCGGTCCTGGGGTCCCCAAGGGGTGCGCGTTTTACGTTTTGCCCTAGCACTCCACAGCTGATTCTAATAATCCCAGCTTGATGATGATGAGTTGATTATTCGAATCTGCTGTGTAGTGCTAGGGCAAAAACTCCCAAAACTTGGCCCGAGTTTGTGAAACCCTGCTTTAGGCTAATACTAGACTATTAGGATGACTTGGTTTGATCGCTTTAATGCCAACTGCTGAACTCTGGTTTTCACAAATTACTTGTCCAGGTGAGCATTATGAATCCAATAGCAAAACAAATGTTTCTGAATTGCTCAATAGTGAAAAAAGGTCAGGAAATGATGGGTTCTCAGCAATATTTCACCAACAACCAATCACTATTCAAGCATAGACATTAGGATCATCAACATATATTCCTAAGTCATACTACAAAAGGGTTGTAACGAAATGGATTTGTCTGTTCAATGCAAGTTCAACGTCAAAGAAAAAGTGCATCACCACAACAAACATGTCTTTAGATACACTGTAAAAAATTACTTTGTGGAATGTACTCAAACTATTACAGTCAACAAAAGCACACGTCATATTATTGAGTAGATATTTTTGCTTGTTTTTATGAGTAGATAAGCTTGAGTAAGTTGTTTAGATGTGGTAAAATACATTGAGTAAAGATGATAGAAGTAAAAAGGATTATATTACGTTGATTCAACTCGAATAGATCCATGACATTGTGTTATTTTACCTGAATGATTCATCCTATTATGTACTCAATGTTACATGATATATTCATTTAGATCAACTCAGAAAAGGTTCACATTTTTACTTTGAATTCACTCAATCAGATCCCTTAAGAGAAAAGGTATCCGGACACCGGGAATCCATTTATTTAAACATCAACGGTTTGCAATTTGAGTTGACAAATTACGTTATTGCAATCAACACTGCAGGTAAGTCCTGATTGCTGCAGGTAGGCAAAACTGTAGAAATAGGAACTAGAACATTAACTAGTATAGGATCTCTGTGGGCAGAACCATTACTTATGAGAGATACAATGGAGCTTCAACACCATAGACGTCATGGGGAACAAAATATTATCATAGTAACCATGGATAACTACTGAAGTGGAGGCTCAAATAGCTCGTGTTTGCACTGTGGGATATTTTTCAAACTACAATGTTGCCTACAAGGCCAAAACAATGAAAGATGTGACAACCCCAAAAATCGGAACACTTTTACTCGTTTGTTCCTATAACATTTCTCTGTTCACGAGCACTGCTGATGGATGCCACCTTTATTACTTTGGTAATTTTTCCTTTAACCCATTAATGTTGGAGTTGCACCTTTTTTCAACAGTTCCCAATAGAAATCTGTTTAAAATAAACTACAAGGTTTTGTAGGTAGACCATCAGTGATGCAGGTAGCATTGTGATGTCATAACAACCATACTGTGCAGACAGACCCTGGTACCACACCTGATGCTATTTCAACCTCTAAATGGCCACCTATGAAAAGCCAAGTGACATTTACTCCTGATGTACTGACTGACCTGTTGCAACCTCTACAACCACTGTGCTTATTATTTGACCCTGCTGGTCATCTATGAACGTTTTAACATCTTGGAGAAAAATGTGCCCTTAATGGCCACATACTGTTATAATCTCCACCCGGAACAGGCAGAAGGGCACCGGCCACCCCTCAGAGCCTGGTTGTTCTCTAGGTTTGTGCCTTTCTAGGGAGTTTTTCCTAGCCACCGCGCTTCTACATCTGCATCGCTTGCTGTGTGGGGTTTTAGGCTGGGTTTCTGTATAACACTTTGTGACATCTTTTGATATAAAAAGGGCTTTATAAATCCACTTCATTGATTGATTGATGGTAGAATTGTCAAAATACCAGTGGTAAAAGGTGTGTACCTTGATGAAACCTCAAAATGGTACAACGGATTCAAAAATCTGAATTTCAAACCACAACTGTATGGGAACTAAATAGACATTACATTTTACAATGACATCCTTCATTAAAAACACCTATTTTCTATCTTTTGTATACAAAAACACAATGGAAAATACTGTGGTAGTGACCCTTTAAAACACACCTTGCAGAATAAACGTGTCTTCCTTACCCTCTAACCTCTTTAGCCTAGATGACCGCCACGGGCCCATCGGGGATGGGTCCCAGACCGCAATGTGCTCGAGCCCCGCCTCTCGGTGACCATCCCCCGATAGGCAGAGGTTGGTCCCAACACAGATTCTGTGCCCCAGGCGACTTCACCAACAACAAGCGGGCCTGTGGTAGAGGACACCGTTCCTGACCTGCTACCAGATAAAATGAAGGGAGAGAAGAGTTCCAAAGCGTTTAACTACGAAGGTTTTACAAAGTAACCCTGACATTCAGTCTATGACAATTGTCCTCTGGCCTGTCATTCTGCTTAAGACAGTCATTTGTTCTTGAGGGCTGTCACTTGCCACGGCACCCTCCTTGTTGATCGCATAGATTTCCTTTACATGTTGTGCAAGGTCTTGCAGGAAATGTCCCCCCTCAGCTTTCTGTAAAATAAATAAGACACAAATACAGACATTCTGTCAATGTGGGGAACACATTTTATTCCACCTGGATTACGACATGCCCTTATTTGTTATCAGATTGCAGTGAACATTCTCTCCCTCTCTCTCTCTCACACACACACACACACACACACACACACACACACACACACACACACGTGATCGAATATTCATGGGTGAAAATGCTTTATTGGCCCCACATGGTAGTCTTTAATGAGGCCACCTCCAGTAAAGCTGAACAATAATTCCTCACTGAACTCACATCATGACCCTGATATAGAATAAAATCATTGATCTCATTGGATTCAATCCGTGCATGTGAAATCTATGAAATCACCGATCCAAGTATCCTATATTAGCAAAAGGTGTACAATGCTTGGGTAGCACAGCAGGGCCTGTGGCTTAAATTGCAGCACCGAACATCAGCCAGCTAAATACAAAACAGTGCATTTTTCCTGAGGATACTTTACCATCCAGCATGACCCGCAATCTGTCTCCAACCTTGCCTCAAGATGCTTTGTTGTGAGCCTGTGGAATTGTTAATTGATCTGAAAGACAAATACTGAAATATCATCAAGCAGGGCTCATAACAAAGATGTTTGTCATAGTAAAGACTTATCATTTGTCATTTTCTTTTTTTGCCTGCTAACTCACCTGAGAGGCTTCTAAACAGAGCAGGCCATCTGTCTTTCATGTCTTCAACACTGGGACACTGGTTGATGACTTCCTGTCTTTTGCCGTGCAAATGTCTTGGTCATATTTCCTGGAATCACCCTTGTGTGGTCCTTCTTTGCATGTTACTAATTCTATTCTCTGAGCGGCCACATCTGTTAAAAGAAGAATCTAGACGATTAACCATAACCATTAACCCATTTTATCAAGACCCTGCAACTACTACAAGTAGCTACGACGTGTGACAAAATGGATTATCTCCATAGCCATTACAGCAGCTAGCTTTTAGCTAACGTACGTTAGCAATCAACGGCTGACACACGATTGATACGCTACTAACTAGCTCGCGATAATACACATGGGCAGACAAACCTAAATTAGCTAACGTTAGCTTAGCTTAGAAAGTAACCTAGCTAGCACAAGCACTCTTATGTTAGCTAGCTACTTACTAGCTAAAGGTAGTATGACAAAAAAAAGAAGACGAGGAAACGTAGCGTGGAACCCCGTATTCTCGGCATATTCAACAGCGTTAAAAAAATGCATAGCCTTCAACAGTGTTATCTTGTGATCAAGCCATCAATGTTATGTGATTATTGGTGGTGTCAAAATGTTAGCTAACGGGTTAGCAATTAGCAAGTTTGACATTTCAGTGGAAATACTACTATTATCAGCTTTTTGATAAGCGGTTTAGCAAAAAAATATGTCCCATACTATCGGCATACGGCTCCCGGTTATTGGCCACCTTACTATTCTGTTCAATTACAATATATAGCCATTTAAATTCGTACCGGAAGTGTTTGACTAGTTGGCTAGCCTTCCGGTAAAAAATTATGACTTGCCTGTCAACTTTTCATTGCGTAGCCCAGTGCGCCCTCCTGTGGACGATAAAAAAAATGGTTCTTCACCAACATATTCAGTGTTGTAACCAAGTAATGTCTCATCATTTGTTTGACAGATTCATCTTATGTTTTGAGAAAGTAGATAACAGTTGAATTCTAAAATATGAGTATGAATAACTTAAATCAAATAAAACTTTAATTTCAGTTTTGTTCATTGACATAAACAATGAAAACACTGTCGGAGATTGTTGCAGAGATGCACTTGGAAACTAAAGGAAGAAATACACAAGAGTGGTTCAATAAATATATATATATTATATTATAGACATTTATGTTTTTATACAAATAAATAACTTAATATGACCACAAACAAAACAAACAATTAAATCTCGACCTCCATCCTTATATTGTCACAAAAATCACAATAATAATCCAGCTCCACCGCTACCTCTTGATCCCACTGCACACACCTGCAGTGGAACCAGTGCTGGCAGAAGTCACAGCACAACCATGGCACCTCGGATCTACACTCCTGAGAGGAGCTTGCAGGCGGATCATGCTCCACGCACCGAGCACAGCAGGTGGTCTTCTTTTATAAAAGAGAGAGAGAAAAACAGATGAAGTACCTGAGAGTGGTGCCATGGGTGGCGTGACTGGTGGAGCTTTTCTTTTCCTTTTCTGTGCTGCAGTTTGAGAAAAAGTACTGTTAGACAGAGCATGTTTCATGAAAACCCTTTTCAACTTTTTTACATCAATAGGAAGCTGTAGAGGTTTTAGAGGAGGTGGAGATGACTTGAGGGCTGGTGCTATGTACTGTAGAGATGTAAAGAGAGATTATTTTGTTTACATTGCTCTTTTATAAAACAGATAACAAACAGTCATTTGTTCGTAATTTAACATGTGTTTACCTGTGGAGGTGGCAGTATTCAAATTGCAAGGGGCCAGGGACACCAGACGAGGCTGCTATGGTGGTGTGACCAGGGGAGACTGAGGAGGCAGTTGGTCCAGATGAGGCCGTGTTGGCGATGACAGACAGGGTGGGTGGTGTGCATCGTGGTGGTGATGGACAAAACCGCTGAAGATGGCTTGGAGGAGCTGGTGTTTGTAATGGTGGGGTTGAGGGGCCGACGACGGTGTGGCCGGGAGAGTAGGCACGTGGCCTTCTGCAGCTGGGGACTGCGGCGGCTCCTACAGGTGTTGCACACTGGGAGGCACTGGCAGTGGTGATACAGCTGTCAGGAGTGGTTCCAGCAGGGGGTCCTGCAGAGGCGATGGAGCCAATGGTCTCATCCAGGCAGCCCTCTCCTGTGCCCTCTGTGTTCTGAGGGCTGCCCGACGCTCTTTCTCCTCTGCCCTCTCCTTCTTACCCCTCTCCTGCCACTGGCGCGTGTATTCCTCCCCGGTGAGGCATGTGGCGACCACAGGGACTCTTCTGTATCGGTCCAGCCTATACTTCAGGACAGTAAGGATGTGCCCCAGGTCCTTCGCTATCAGCCCACCCTCTATTAGGGGGTGCTCTTCTAGAGCTAGGCCTGGGACTGGAGCAGGGACTGGGACTGGAGATGGGGCTGAGGGTCCTCCTGTGGTCGCTGGGGAGGAGGCGCTGATGGATGGCACAGTGCTGCTGGTTCCAGGAGAGGCGGTGGTGGGACTCAGTAGGGACCGAGACAACATTAAACGGGACCCTTCAATGGCTAAAGTGTCAAAAAGGGAAGAGGCCACACTTCTTAAACCCTTCCACCACATAACGCATGTCCTTGCATCGCTGGTACGGGTAGCGGAATACTCTTGCAAATTCTGATTTGTTTACCATGTAGGAGTGGTCAAAATGGGTAAGGTCTCCAGCTACCTTGGAGAACTCAGCCTTTAAAGGGCCAAAGTATGCCACGTCCAGCGGCTGCAGGACATGGGTGCAGTGTGGTGGAAGACAAAGAAGTATAACCCCTTCCCTTAGTGCCTCCGCGAGCACCTCCGGTGTATTCAGCACCATTGTATGTAAAGCGCTTGTGCTGCATCTCCACTCATGACACAGGTAATAGGGGAGCTCCGTGGTGCTGAAATGGACAGCGCCTCTGCCCAGTTGCCAAGGGATATTTCCCGTTTGAGGGACTTTTGACATGCTATAGGCACAGTTCAGTAGACCCCAGCCACTTCCTTTTGGATCCATGTTTACGGTATAGGGGATGCATTTGGGACATACCTTACGTCTCTGATCTTGTCAATATCAGCATTTTGCTGTACTTACCGTGAAGTAAAATCATAATAGTCATCATCATAATAGTAGTACATTACAGTATATTTTTGAGTAAAATAGTACAATTTAAAGGGAGTATGTCAGGGTCAATTACTGACAAATGAGAACACACTAATCCTCAGGGGTCATTTTGGGGCAAAACGCACCACTTTGTGAAGGTTTTGTTTTGATTGAAGAGCAAGAAAAGTATTAATTGGTTCCACGTCTTTCCCTTCTAAATGCGTTTGCCTAAGGACAGCCAGTATGCACATATCTAAATGTTATAAAACATTGTTTTTTTTGCCACTCAGAACACAGACATTTACCTTAAGGGGAGTTACCCTCATTTTAGACTTCCCAACCATACATTTTCATGACAGTGTTCCTAATCTACAGTAGGCAAAGCAATTGAAAATCGGTAGGTTAACACCAAACCGTGAAGTGATTATGAATTCAGAGCAGTCATAGTCAAATACATTTGAACAAATGAACAACAATATCACACGGAAAGTGATGTGAGCATTGCATTGTGGAAAGCAATGACTATACAAGAACATGTATTGCAATGCAAAGCATGTATTTCTAGATTAAACACTGATTCAGTGTGGTGAACAAGTACCTGTATGATTTGGTGTGCTATACTTGAACATGTGCTTAGTGTTTTGAAACCACTGCCTATATGATGAGCTGTTGTTGTTTTGTTTTTTTACCACATACTTATGAAAATTGCACCAGTTGAGAGATGATGGCTCTCTGAGCCTACGGTGAAGAGTAATTCTGATCCAGCAGGTGGTGCTAACATCCCTCCCTATATGACTTGAATGATGAGTTGACTTATTCCTTATAGCTCCTAATGATTTTAAGGCCAATGTTGGCAAACATTACTTCTGCTCCAGCAGGTGGCCATGAAATCCCTCACTATATGACTTGACTGACCAGTTAGTTGATGGACTCCTTATAGCTCTTAATGATTTTAAGCAGAGTGTTGGCCACATGACTTCTGATCCAGCAGGTGGCGGTGAAATTACTCCCTATAGGAGTTGACTTATTCCTTTGAGGTCCTAAATGAAGCATAGGGCATCAACAGTGCACGGATATATAGTAGAGCCTCGGCCTGCCATGCGACTTTGACTATTGTAGATAATCCATTTGGATTGATGCCTTTTATTTCAACGCCTCAGGCAAGTAAAACATGCAATACGTAGCTTTTAGACGGGTTAGTTAACAACATACATGGTGAGAAATGTAGAGGTGCAGGTATATAAGAAGCCATTTAGCAGACGCTTTTATCCAAAGCGACATACAGTCATGTGCGCATACATTTTTACATCCTGGGGATCGAACCCACTACCCTGGCGTTACAAGCGCCATGCTCTACCAATTGAGCTACAGAGGACCACAAATAAATATATCAATTGTGCCTTTTTGATGGAAATATGGAGGTGGGATTTTGGAGATCAAGTCATAATTTACGCGCGCTCTCTGCGAATAAGGCGGGCCAGCTGGATGTCCTTGGACATGATGGTCACCCTCTTTGCGTGGATGGCACACAGTTTGGTGTCCTCAAACAGACCGACCAGGTAAGCCTCGCTAGCCACCTGCAGGGCCATCACGGCGATCTCTGGAAGCGCAGGTCGGTCTTGAAGAACTGGGCAATTTTTCTCCACAGGCGCTGGAAGGGCACATTGCGGATGAGCAGCTCAGTGGCCCTTTGGTAACGACGGATCTCTCTGATACACGGTGCCAGGCCTGTAACTGGGAGGCGTTCCTGCGTGCAGACTTGGCGTTGAGCTGCTTTCTGTAGGCTTTACCAAGGGTGGATTTATGAGCGGTTTGCTTGGTTCTGGCCATGGCGCTTGCTTCCTTCTAGACAGTCGGAGTATAGCCTCGAAATGCCCATGTGAAATGTATAAAGCCGGCAGTGGCATCTGCTGATTGGACACCATCTCCCCACCACCCCGATTGGCCCATTGCGGAAAACTCCTCTGTCGGTTACTGGAAGGCATGCTTTGCTTTTTTTTTTAGGACCGCACGCCCAACACAATAGACTGCGCGCCAAAAACAATAGTACACTGCGCGCGCACACAATAGTACACTAAGCGCGTGCGTACAATAGCACACTGCTGGCCCTTTGCGCGCAATAATATTAGTCAAAGTCAAGAGTGAAATCTTGTGTTATATTTTAATGCTAGCCTGTTATGCCAAACGAGGCCAATGGTACACTGCCTGCACACAACTACACACTGAGCGCTGGCAAAAGCACACTGTGCGCGCGCAACAGCACACTGACGGCCCTTTATGCAGAATAATAGTCGCGAAAGTCCAGAGTGATATCTTGTGTTCAAATCTAATGCTTGCCTGCTATGGCAAACGAGGCCTAGTAGGTGTTATTGTTCATTCATGGCCTCATGTGGGAACATGATATAGTGCCATGTATGTAAGAAATAGTCGACATAATTGTGTATACACCCACTCAATTAGTTGGCTCTTAAAATAGCCTTTGGAGGTTGAGTAGTCAAGTTGAAGCCGCAGTAGCGAATTTACTTGGCTTTGACGGTCTTCTTGGGGAGTAGGAGATGGGGAATGATGTGAGGCTTCTTGTTTGCACGGGTAATGTCTCCGGCCAACTCCAGGATCTCAGCAGTCAGGCACTCGAGCACGGCAGCCAGGTAGACTGGTGCGACAGCACCCACACACTCGGCGTAGTTGCCTTTGCGCATCAGCCTGGTCATCTCGTAATCCATCTTGATTGAAATGTTCATGTAAAATTTGTTCCCAACATTGAAAGAATGTCTGTGTTTGTGTGTTATTTTTTGTCCAGCAAGATGAAGGGGGTGATGTCCTGCAGGACCTAGCACAACATGTAAGGAAAATCGTTGTGTACTAACCTGGGATATTTACGTTAAGGATTATGTTTACCAATAGATGACAGTATTGACTCAATACGGGGTTTGCTTTCCGCTATCCGTCGCCGTTTAAATGTCTGACATATAACCGTGTTCGAGAAAACCACCGGTAGCGTAATGTATTTCAGCAGATTTTGTGCGTTTCTGTGTGAAAAGACACAAATTGATGTGCTACTTAATTCGTGCGAAAAGACACCAATTTAACCAGTAGGCTACACACAACAACCATAAACGGATAGCATATTTTTCTTTATTTTCTTTATTATGGCTAATTAAATGTTATGAATATACAGAAATGTGTTGTCTGTATTTAATGTTTCAGACATTGTAGTTGTATGCCTATGTACTGTTTGAGATTTTCTGAACATCATTTGTGAGAAAATACACACATTTATGTGCAACTTAATTCGTGAGAAAAATTGTTTTATTAATGCTAATGATGTTTTCTATGTTTGATTTCGATTAATACTTTGGGATACTGGTGCACTTTTGGTCAGAAAGGCCCCTTTTTCGTGTAGGCAACAGTACACGATTTTCTTCATAATGCATTTCATATTTCGTAGAGCCTAAATTACACAATTTTCTTAATAATTCATTTAATACATGTTAAAGAGGTTAATGTAAAAATAATGAAATACGTCAGCTTTCACTTATGGCACTTCCAAGGCCTTTCTAATATGGTTATGTCAATCATATTATATTATATACTTAGGCTATTGTAATGCGTTCAACCAGTTAGCAAGTCAGAAATGTCCGTTTCCTAGTACCGACTAGCACTTGAATGCTGTATTATGCCAACTTCACATTCTCGTGGAAAATGGGAAGTTGTAACTCCGACATGATTGTGTTCAAGTGGTTTTGAAGTCGGAACAATTCTTAAACCAATAAGATTGGCAACAACATTTTCACTATTTCTCACTTGTAATTCCTACTTGGAGGGTCATTCAAGTGAAACTTCCTAGTCGGAACTAGGTATTTCCGATAACTCTGATAGCACCCTGAACGCGACATTAATGTGTGTGATCGACAACAGTAGGGTCTGGGTCCCGGCGTGTCCAGTCCCCATACACATTCCATAGGAGTGAGTGTCAGTAGTCTACTATATGTCCGTGCTATGTGAAGTAAGTATGGTGATTATTATTAAGGTTCTGGTCGTCTGAGATACCAACAAGTAAGGCTATACAACATACAATATCAATTAATACAATGGGGAAAAAAAGTATTTAGTCAGCCACCAATTGTGCAAGTTCTCCCACTTAAAAAGATGAGAGAGGCCTGTAATTTTCATCATAGGTACTCGTCAACTATGACAGACAAAATGAGAAAAAATAATCCAGAAAATCACATTGTAGGATTTTTAATAAATTTATTGGCAAATGATGGTGGAAAATAAGTATTTGGTCAATAACAAAAGTTTCTCAATACTTTGTTATATACCCTTTGTTGGCAATGACACAGGTCAAACGTTTTCTGTAAGTCTTCACAAGGTTTTCACCAACTGTTGCTTGTATTTTGGCCCATTCCTCCATGCAGATCTCCTCTAGAGCAGTGATGTTTTGGGGCTGTCGCTGGGCAACACAGACTTTCAACTCCCTCCAAAGATTTTCTATGGGGTTGAGATCTGGAGACTGGCTAGGCCACTCCAGGACCTTGAAATGCTTCTTACGAAGCCACTCCTTCGTTGCCCGGGCAGTGTGTTTGGGATCATTGTCATGCTGAAAGACCCAGCCACGTTTCATCTTCAATGCCCTTGCTAATGGAAGGAGGTTTTCACTCAAAATCTCACGATACATGGCCCCATTCATTCTTTCCTTTACACGGATCAGTCGTCCTGGTCCCTTTGCAGAAAAACAGCCCAAAAGCATGATGTTTCCACCCCCATGCTTCACAGTAGGTATGGTGTTCTTTGGATGCAACTCAGCATTCTTTGTCCTCCAAACATGACGAGTTGAGTTTTTACCAAAAAGTTATATTTTGGTTTTATCTGACCATATGACATTCTCCCAATCCTCTTCTGGATCATCCAAATGCACTTCAGACGGGCCTGGACATGTACTGGCTTAAGCAGGGGGACACGTCTCGCACTGCAGGATTTGAGTCCCTGGCGGCGTAGTGTGTTACTGATGGTAGGCTTTGTTACTTTGGTCCCAGCTCTCTGCAGGTCATTCACTAGGTCCCCCCGTGTGGTTCTATGATTTTTGCTCACCGTTCTTGTGATCATTTTGACCCCACGGGGTGAGATCTTGCGTGGAGCCCCAGATAGAGGGAGATTATCAGTGGTCTTGTATGTCTTCCATTTCCTAAAAATTGCTCCCACAGTTGATTTCTTCAAACCAAGCTGCTTACCTATTGCAGATTCAGTCTTCCCAGACTGGTGCAAGTCTACAATTTTGTTTCTGGTGTCCTTTGACAGCTCTTTGGTCTTGGCCATTGTGGAGTTTGGAGTGTGACTGTTTGAGGTTGTGGACAGGTGTCTTTTATACTGATAACAAGTTCAAACAGGTGCCATTAATACAGGTAACGAGTGGAGGACAGAGGAGCCTCTTAAAGAAGAAGTTACAGGTCTGTGAGAGCCAGAAATCTTGCTTGTTTGTAGGTGACCAAATACTCATTTTCCACCATAATTTGCAAATAAATTCAATAAAAATCCTACAATGGGATTTTCTGGATTTTTTTTTCTCAATTTGTCTGTCATAGTTGACGTGTACCTATGATGAAAATTACAGGCCTCTCTCATCTTTTTAAGTGGGAGAACTTGCACAATTGGTGGCTGACTAAATACTTTTTTTCCCCACTGTATATATTTTCTCCTATTAGTGTATTTGAGTTTGTTCTGTCGTTTCTGGATGATTTAATTGAAATTGCAACCAACTTTCTATGGCTTGTTTTAGATATAGTGATATTTGAGAGATTATTTCATTTCAAATAACTGAAAGTGAGAGGTTGTAATTTGAATAAAGGGGGGAAATTCCATTACTGAATATGTGGTGATTAGAAAAGATTTTACTCTTGACTTTGGCGAATATTATCGCGCGGCAGTGTCCTAATGCCTGCGCGCAGTGGACTATTGGCATCGTTTGCCATAGCAGGCTGGCATTAGATTAGAACATAAGATTTCACTCTTGACTTCAGCGATTATTAATTTGCATAAAGGGCCGGCAGTGTACTTTTGCGCGCACATTGTGCTTTTGCCTGTGCGCAGTGTGCAGTTGCATCTGCGCAGTGTACTATTGGCCTCGTTTGCCATAGCAGGCTAGCATTCAATTATAACACAAGATTTCACTCTTGACTTTGGCGACAATTATTGCGTGTAAAGGCCGGCAATGTTCTATTGTTTTGGGCGCGCAGTGTATTATTGCGGGCGCACGCAAAGAGTATTGTTTTTTGGCGTACTGTGTGTTTTATGGGCGCGCAGTGTACTGTTTTGGGTGCGCGGTCAAAAAAAATAGAGAAGCAAAGCATCCCTTCCGATAGCCGCCAGAGGAGGCCTCCGTAACGGGCCAATCGGGGTGGTGGGGAGATGGTTTCCAATCAGCAGATGCCACTGCCGGCTTTATACATTTCACATGGGCATTTCGAGGCTATACTCCGACTGTCTAAGAAGGAAGCTAGCGCCATGGCCAGAACCAAGCAAACCGCTCGCAAATCCACCGGTGGCAAAGCCCCCAGGAAGCAGCTCGCCACTAAGGCTGCTCGCAAGCGTGCCCCGGCCACCGGCGGTGTGAAGAAGCCTCACCGTTACAGGCCCGGCACCGTGGCTCTGAGAGAGATCCGTCGTTACCAGAAGTCCACTGAGCTACTCATCCGCAAGCTGCCCTTCCAGCACCTGGTGAGAGAAATCGCCCAGGACTTCAAGACCGACCTGCGCTTCCAGAGCTCCGCCGTGATGGCCCTACAGGAGGCTAGCGAGGCTTACCTGGTCGGCCTGTTCGAGGACACCAACCTGTGCGCCATCCACGCCAAGCGGGTGACCATCATGCCCAAGGACATCCAGCTGGCCCGCCGTATTCGCAGAGAGCGCGCATAAATGAGGATGACCTTAACTCAAAAATCCCCCAAAGGCTCTTTTAAGAGCCACCTCCATATTTCCATCAAAAAGGCACAATTGTTCCATGTATACACGCACCTCTACATTAGCCACCATGTATGTTGTTCACTAACACGTCTAAAAGCTACGTATTGCACCTTTTAGTTGCCTGAAGTCTAGCTTCAATGTTTGTGTGTGTGTGTGTGTATATACACAACCATCTGGCATCATCCACTTCCTTTGAACTATAGTAGCACAGTAAAATGCTTTACAAAGGAGGGGGAAAAGAAACGAGTGATAATATAGGCCGAATAGTAACAAGAATTGTGTTCAGATGAATAATTGACACTATTAGTTGTGTGTAATAATAGCCTTGCATGCAGTCCAGAAAAAACATTGCATGCCAACTTACTTTGAAAGTCCCATGTCCCAGTGCTGCTGAGAGACTCATGCAGAGGCCAAAACTTTACAGTGGAGCACGGAGGCCATGTTGTGGTTAAATGTGGGTACTGCACATCATGGTGATTCCCTTTCAGTATTTGCTCTTTAGGCCAGCGTTTCCCAAACGCGGTCCTGGGGTCCACAAGGGGTGCGCGTTTTGCCCTAGCACTCCACAGCTGATTCTAATACTCCAGCTTGATGATGATGAGTTGATTATTTGAAGCAGCTGTGTAGTGCTAGGGCAAAAATTCCCAAAACGTGCCCCGAGTTTGGGAAACCCTGCTTTAGGCTAATACTAGCCTATTAGGATGACTTGGTTCGATCGCTTTAATGGCAACTGCTGAACTCTGGCTTTCACTAATTACTTGTCCCAGGTCACCATTATGAATCCAATAGCAAAACAAATGTTTCAAAATTGCTCAATAGTGAAAAAAGGGCAGGAAACGATGGGTTCTCAGCAATATTTCACCAACAACCAATCACTATTCAAGCATAGACATTAGGATCATCAACAAATATTCCTAAGTCATACTACAAAAGGGTTGTAACGAAATGGATTTGTCTGTTCACTGCAAGTTCAACGTCAAAGAAAAAGTGCATCACCACAACAAACGTGTCTTTAGATACACTGTAAAAAATGACTTTGTGGAATGTACTCAAGATATTACAGTCAACAAAAGCACACGTCATATTATTGAGTAGATCTTTTTGCTTGTTTTTATGAGTAGATAAGCTTGAGTAAGTTGTTTAGATGTGGTCCAATACATAGAGTAAAGATGATAGAGGTAAAAAATGATTATATTACGTTGAATCAACTCAAATATACATTGTGTTATTTTACCTGAATGATTCATCCTATTATGTATTTAGACCAAGTCAGAAAAATGTTCACATTTTTACTTTGGATTCACTCAATCAGATCCCTTAAGAGAAAAGGTATCCGGACACCGGGAATCCATTTATTTAAACATCAACGGTTTGCAAAACATCTGTTATTATGAGATGAGAAATTACGGATTTGCAATCAACACTGCAGGTAAATCCTGATTGCTGCAGGTAGGCAAAACCGTAGAAATAGGAACTACAACACTAACTAGTATAGGATCTCTGTGGGCAGAACCATTACTTACGAGAGATACAATGGAGCTTCAACCCCATAGACGTCACGGGGAACAAAATATTCTCATAGTAACCATGGATACCTACGGAAATGGAGGCTCAAATAGCTTGTGTTTGCACTGTGGGATATTTTTCAAACTACAATGACAAAACATTGAACAACCCCAATAATCTAAACACTTTTACTCGTTTGTTCCTATAACATTTCTCTGTTCACGAGCACTGCTGATGGATGCCACCTACAGTGGGGAAAAAAAGTATTTAGTCAGCCACCAATTGTGCAAGTTCTCCCACTTAAAAAGATGAGAGAGGCCTGTAATTTTCATTATAGGTACATGTCAACTATGACAGACAAATTGAGAAAAAAATATCCAGACAATCACATTGTAGGATTTTTTATGAATTTATTTGCAAATTATGGTGGAAAATAAGTATTTGGTCACCTACAAACAAGCAAGATTTCTGGCTCTCACAGACCTGTAACTTCTTCTTTAAGAGGCTCCCCTGTCCTCCACTCGTTACCTGTATTAATGGCACCTGTTTGAACTTGTTATCAGTATAAAAGACACCTGTCCACAACCTCAAACAGTCACACTCCAAACTACACTATGGCCAAGACCAAAGAGCTGTCAAAGGACACCAGAAACAAAATTGTAGACCTGCACCAGGCTGGGAAGACTGAATCTGCAATAGGTAAGCAGCTTGGTTTGAAGAAATAAACTGTGGGAGCAATTATTAGGAAATGGAAGACATACAAGACCACTGATAATCTCCCTCGATCTGGGGCTCCACGCAAGATCTCACCCGTGCGGTCAAAATGATCACAAGAACGGTGAGCAAAAATCCCAGAACCACACGAGGGGACTTAGTGAATGACCTGCAGAGAGGTGGGACCAAAGTAACAAAGCCTACCATCAGCAACACACTACGCCGCCAGGGACTCAAATCCTGCAGTAACAGACGTGTCCCCCTGCTTAAGCCAGTACATGTCCAGGCCCGTCTGAAGTTTGCTAGAGTGCATTTGGATGATCCAGAAGAGGATTGGGAGAATGTCATATTGTCAGATGAAACCAATATAGAAGTTTTTGGTAAAAACTCAACTCGTCGTGTTTGTAGGACAAAGAATGCTGAGTTGCATCCAAAGAACACCATACCTACTGTGAAGCATGGGGGTGGAAACATCATGCTTTGGGGCTGTTTTTCTGCAAAGGGACCAGGACGACTGATCCGTGTAAAGGAAAGAATGAATGGGGCCATGTATCGTGAGATTTTGAGTGAAAACCTCCTTCCATCAGCAAGGGCATTGAAGATGAAACGTGGCTGGGTCTTTCAGCATGACAATGATCCCAAACACACCGCCCGGGCAACAAAGGAGTGGCTTCGTAAGAAGCATTTCAAGGTCCTGGAGCCAGGACCTTGATCCTGGAGCCAGTCTCCAGATCTCTACCCCATAGAAAATCTTTGGAGGGAGTTGAAAGTCCGTGTTGCCCAGCGATAGCCCCAAAACATCACTGCTCTGGAGGAGATCTGCATGGAGGAATGGGCCAAAATACCAGCAACAGTGTGTGAAAACCTTGTGAAGACTTACAGAAAATGTTTGACCTGTGTCATTGCCAACAAAGGGTATATAACAAAGTATTGAGAAACTTTTGTTATTGACCAAATACTTATTTTCCACCATAATTTGCAAATAAATTTATTAAAAATCCTACAATGTGATTTTCTGGAAAAGAAAATCTCATTTTGTCTGTCATAGTTGACGTGTACCTATGATGAAAATTACAGGCCTCTCTCATCTTTTTAAGTGGGAGAACTTGCACAATTTGTGGCTGACTAAATACTTTTTTTCCCCACTGTATATTACTTTGGTCATTTTTCCTTTAACCCATTAATGTTGTAGGTGCGCCTTTTTTCAACAGTTCCCAATAGAAATCTGTACCGCACCTGTTGCTATTTCAACCTCTAAATGGCCGCCTATGAAAAGCCAAGTGACATTTACTCCTGATGTACCGACTGTACCGACTGACCTGTTGCAACCTCTACAACCACTGTGCTTATTATTTGACCCTGCTGGTCTTCTATGAACGTTTGAACATCTTGGAGAGAAATGTGCCCTTAATGGCCACGTACTGTTGTAATCTCCACCCGGCACAGGCAGAAGGGCACTGGCCACCCCTCAGAGCCTGGTTGTTCTCTAGGTTTGTGCCTTTCTAGGGAGTTTTTCCTAGCCACCGCGTTTCTACATCTGCATCGCTTGCCCTTTGGGGTTTTAGGCTGGGTTTCTGCATAGCACTTTGTGACATCTGTTAATGTAAAAAGGGCTTTATAGATCCACTTCATTGATTGATTGATTGATGGTAGAATTGTCAAAATACCAGTGGTAAAAGGTGTGTACCTTGATGAAACCTCAAAATGGTACGTACAACGGATTCAAAAATGGACATTTCAAACCGCAACTGTAAAATGTAAATGTAGAATAACAACAAAACAATCCAGAAAAACGCATGTCAAAAATGTTATAAATTCATTTGCATTTTAATGAGGGAAATAAGTATCTTGTCCCTGACATCCTTGGAGAGGTCTTTGGTCTTGGCCACGGCGGAGAGTATGGAATCTGATTTATTGATTGCTTCTGTGGACCGGTGTCTTTTATACATTTTTTTTTTATACAGGTAACACGCTGAGATTAGGAGCATTCCCTTTATGAGTGTGCTCCTAATCTCAGCTCGTTACCTGTATAAAAGACACCTGGGAGCCAGACATCTTTCTGATTGAGAGGGGCATCTTACTTATTTCCCTCATTAAAATGCTAATCAATTCATAACATTTTGGACATGCGTTTTTTTCTGGAAGTTTTTGCTGTTATTCTGTCTTTCACTGTTCAAATAAACCTACCATTCAAATGATAGACTGATCATTTCTTTGTCAGTGGGCAAACGTACAGAATCAGCAGGGGATCAAATACTGTTTTCCCCTCACTGTATGTCATGCCAAGAAGAATGGCAGAAGCCTTTGCAAAACTCAGACCGGTGATCACTTAAGGATGACGCCTACCTCCTCTGGACCATCACTCGCCACGGCACCCTCCTTGTTGATCGCATAGATTTGCTTTACATGTTACGCAAGGTCTTGCAGGAAATGACCCCCCTCAGCTTCCTGTAAAATAAATAACACACAAATACAGACATTCTGTCAATGTGGGGAACACATTTTATTCCACCTGGATTACGACATACCCTTATTTGTTATCAGATTGCAGTGAACATTCTATCCCTCTCTCTCTCTCACACACACACACACACACACACACACACACACACACACGTAATCGAATATTTATGGATGAAAATGCTTTATTGCCCCCACACGGTAGTCTTTAATGAGGCCACCTCCAGTAAAGCTGAACAATAATTCCTCACTGAACTCACATCATGACCCTG